TGAGTTAGAGAACGGCAAATGGTTGCAAAAATTTTACTTTATGGTGAATATCACAGCGAAATTAAATGAGCTGAATCTAAAACTGCAAGGAAAGGGAAACCCAGACTATGTTTTGGCAGAAGAATTGGTTTGTTTTGAAGAAAAATTAATTCTTTTGGCAGAAGATATTCAGAGCGGCATATTACTTCATTTTCAATTTCTAAAGCAATATCGTGATAAAACTAGTGCAACTGTTGACACGAGGTACTTCAGCACAGTTATAAAAAAAATTAAAGATGAATTTGCTGATAGATTTGAGCAATTCAAAACCAATAGAACCGTTCTAGCATTCATAGTAAATCCTCTCAACACAAATAGTAACGAAATCCCCATTGAGTCATTTGGAATTGATACTGGATCTCTAGAAATGCAATTGATCGATTTAAAAAGTAAATATTGTGGAGTGGAAAATTTACAGAGTTGAAAAGCAAGTTGGAAGAGTTGGAGGTCCAGAAATGTATGTTCGTAACGCAACAAAAGTAGACAGCTTTAAAAGAAATGCCGCAAGTTGAGGCACTTATATTTTACGTATGGAATAGTCTTCCAGATTGCTACAGTGAGGTGAAGAAGTTAGCATTTCTCCAAATGCTAACTTCTTCACCTTCTTGGATCGACATATTCGTGCGAGCAAGCGTTCTCTTGCATGAATATAATTAAAAGTAAAGTAAGAAGCCAACTAACAAATGAAAATTTAGAGTCGTGTTTGAAACTTAAAGCAACAAGTTATGAGCCAAATTTATCCAAACTTTCTAAAACCATGGAAAGCCAATGCTCCCATTGAATTTGTTTGCTCAAATGTATGTTATTGTTTTTTTATTTTAAGTACAAATTACATTATTTAGTAAAGTTTAAATTTTCTACTTGAATAACCATGCAAAGCCATCGCTCCCATTGAATTTGTTCAATCGTCTGTTATTGAAGTACAAGTTAGTGTTGTCAGTAAATGTTTAATTGTTTTAATTTTTTACTTAAATAATAATTAATTTTCTAATAATGAATAAATAGAATGATATAATGAATAAAAAGATATGTTTTCTCATGAATAAATAGATTAGTTTTTTTTTTTTTTTATCAAAACATTTTATTTATGCGAGTACTAACAGGTGGGCTAGTATTATTAAATCAGCGCTACTACTATTAAATCCATATGAGTTTTAGTTAGCCCTAACCTTCACGTGTATAAATTTGACAGCTGTTGCACTATTAGTATGTGAGTTATAACATTTTTAGTGAAGCAACTTTAGTTAGTTTGAAAAAATGGATAAAAAGGAATTTCATGTGTTAATAAAACATTGCGTTTTGGCGAAAAACAATACTATTGAAGCCAAGGCTTGGCTTGATAAACATTATTCGGACTTTGCACCAGGAAAATCAACCGTAGAGAAGTGGTTTGCTAAATTTAAATGAGGCGAAATGAACACCAAGGACGATGCACGCAGTGGACGCCCCAAAGAGGCTGTTACCGACATCAAAAAAGTCCACAAAACAATTTCTGATAACCGTAAAGTGAAGTTGATTGAGATAGCTGAGACCCTAAAGATATCAAAGGAACGTGTTGGACATATCGTGAATGAATATTTGGATATGCAAAAGCTCTGTTCAAAGTGGGTGCCGCGCGAGCGCACAATCGGCCCAAAACAACAACGAATTGATGATTCTAAGCAGTGTTTGGAGCTGTTCAATCGTAATAAACCCGAATTTTTGCGTCGATATGTGACAATAGAGGAAACAAGGCGCCATCATTTCACACCGGAGTCCAATCGACAGTCAGCCGATTAGACTGCACGTGATGAACACTAAAAATGCTATAACTCACATACTAATAGCGCAACAGCTATCAAATTTATACACGTGTCTTTTGAAGGTTAGGGCTAACTAAAAATCATATGGATTTAATACTAGTAGCGCCATCTATGTGTCAGCCTACGAACTTTTCAGCCCACCTGTTTTTTATTGTTGTCAAGGAAAAAATTTGTGGCTCTTTAAAAACTTTGAAATTTGTAAATTGCCATTTTGGCTCTTTCGACTCGAAAGGTTGCCGACCCCTGGTCTAGGATCTTGTACAAAGAAGAAATGTCTTCATATTTTTTATTATTTCAAAAACGTTTGATCGTACAAGCAAAATAATTTCAGAAAACTGATACAAAGGAAGCCATATAGTTATTCATAATAAAGCCATCGAGAAGACGATGTTGTTGAAAGGATGTAAGTTCCTTTATTATTATTATTATTACATTGGAAAAAATGGGCAAAACTTTTATGAAACTTGATAATTAAGATTTTTATTTATAAGATTTTTTACTACACATTTTTTTATTATCCTAATTATTATTTTATTACAATGAATAAAACATACCGATTCTTCAATTATTTAAGAAAAGGTGTCTGAAGGATGAACCTATGATGCTAGGATTCTTAATAATGAGTCATAATGATCACGCTTCACCTGAATACATTGAGGGGAATTTAAATACTTTTTTTTTTTAATTTTCAAAAAGAGCATGTCCTTCCCACAATGTCAAAAAAATTCCTGGGGACATTTTAACAGGAAACTACCAAATATTATAATTTTTAGTACTTTTCTACACCATTATCTGTAAAACATTTGAAGGAATGTAATTGAATCATAGAAAATGCATTAAAACTATGATAAAGCGAGTTTTTATCAAATTTTCTTGTTTGTAAAGATTTTATAAGATTAAGATAGTTTTTATGACTAGATTTTAAGAACTTTATGATTAATAGATTCAAAGTTTTATTCAAATAACAATATTATTGTTTACTTTCCAAAAGTTATTCAAATTTTTTTTCCTGATAATCCAACTCCGTTGCTTCTCTCTTTCAGTAACGAGGCGAATCGATTGCGAAAATGACAACGAGTGTAGATCGTCTCGCATCGATATTTAGGCTGTCCATGCAGGACTTAAATGTGAGATAGTTACTCCAAAATGACTTCCTGTCAACGCCGTCAATGGGCTGTTCGGAGCGTAGAAAATTGGAATACAAGGCTCACCGATGTTCAACAACACAAAAAGGTATGCATATACTGTTTCTTGGTTTTGGTTACGGTTATTCATAGTATGTGTATATAGTGTCCAATATATATGTTCATAGTATGTAAAATTGGAATACAAGGCTCACCGGTGTTCAACAGGTATGCATATCTTGTTCTTTAATTTTGTTTGCGGTGATTCATGTATGTGCATGTAGTATACAAAATATGTATTCATAGTATGCAAAATTGGAATACAAGACTTACCGGTGTTCAACAGGTATGCATATGCTATTCTTTGGTTTTAGTTGCGTTGATTTAGTATTTTAAAATGCATGATATACACTTAATTTGAAAACAGTCTGATGGTGATAGTACAATTAATAATTACATTTAATGTGATAAAAACATTAAACTGTGGTTTAAAACTCTGATGCTTTTCTTGCGGTCCGTCTCATTTTAATTCTATTTTAATACTTATAAATGTAATTAGTCATTTGTTTAAAAAAAAAATCAGATTTTGATGAAAGATTCAAATAGAAAACGCCATTAGGAAAAGTTTAATAAAAATATAAGCATTTCAATATTAGGAAAACCTTTTATTCAAAGTTTTCTATTTTATTGCGGACTAAAAGATGAAATATTTTGTCAGTAACTTTTTAGCTTGGATGTAAGATCCCTATTTACCTAATTTTGTTTTATCTATGCAAGGGTATCCACAATATGACCCCTGGGCCAATTGTGGATACTGGGTACTCGAACACCATCAATCCGGCAAGCCATAAATTCTACATTCATTCATTCATTCATTCATGATTTAAAAAAAAAAATCATTTCCTTCCAATGCAGGAGGAAATTACGAAGTTACCCATGTAGCATGGTGACTGCTTCACAAAGAGACTATTAGTTGGGGAAAGTCATTGTTGATACCTGATGCTACCAGAATTTTGAAAGAATTTTGGGGTGGAAAGGATTTCCTCGACTTCTTCTTGTCCCCCAATTCAATGATGTTTTCCAGCACATTAATTTGCATCACAGTAGCGCAACATGTTAACTATCCTCTCAGTGCTGTATAAAATTACTCTGGTATGAACCCACGAAGCTGGTTGACTACTTCACAAAGAAGACTTATTAGATAGGAAGATCATCGTTTTTTTACCAAATGCAGGCCGGATTTAGATTAAAAGAGTCCCTAGGCTATTCCACTTATGAGGCCCTTTCACCTCCCATTTTTAAATTTGTAAATTACATGAGATATTAAAATACATCAATATTGTAATATATATTAATTTCTTAAATGAAACATGTTGTTTTGGGTACTAATCTGGCACGGATAATAAATAAAAAAAAAATTGAGAACACTTATTTGGACATTTATTCTCAGCACCTTATGTAGTACTTGTAACAATAACTAATCAAACATAACACACAATATTTACAAAGAAACAAAATTCAAATAATAAAAAACTTTGACTTCGAAAATGAAATATGCAATAAATATTATCCTATTTTCTATCAAATTAAATTAAATATATTCGATACATTGACGATTAAAGCAGATTCAGTTCAGATAAATTTATTTCATAATAATTCGCATTTAAAGTTTAAGTATGAATTATTATAAATTTTAAGTTTTAAACTAAACCAAAAATGGAACTTTATTCAAACAAAATCCAGATCGCAAAAAATATATATATATATATATCTAATTGTATATCATATTAAATTTTATGTAAATAGTTATTTTATTTAAGCATTGATTCAATCCAAGTATACATTTAAAACGAAATAGTAGATTAGAATTTCTTTCTAAACTCTTTCACACAGAATTCTTCGATAAGTTCATCAAAATCTATTTTTCTAAAGGTTTCATTTGATCTTAACCAACACATTTCTATGTTTGTTTATTAGTCATATGTGTAGAATTTTTCCTTCAGTGTTTTAGTGTTTACTGTTGTTACTTGTACCAACGGCCATACCATGCTGAATATACCGGTTCTCGTTAGATCACCGAAGTCAAGCATCATTGGGCGTAGTACTTGGGTGGGTGACCACCTGGGAACACCGCGTGCCGTTGGCATTCACAAATTTGGGACCTGAATGGCAGCCGAGTGTCTAGCGCTCGGTGCCACAGGTTTCGTATTCGAATCCCGGCGGTGCCATGGATGTTTGTAGTGGTTCGGAATCCACTTTAAGCCGTAGGTCCCGGTCTCCTATGACTGTAAGAGCGTCACGGAGCAAAAGTCAGGCTTCTACCTACGGGTGCTCCATCACAACAGAAGCTGCTTCCTTCCCCTTCAATCATGAGTACGTATGGGCTCGTGAGCTTGGCCAGCCAAGTGGGATAAGAAACAACAACAACAACACTTGTTATTTTTCCTTCAGTGAATTCAGTGTTTTAGTGTTTACTGTTTTTAGAATAGTGTAATTCTAATTTGCTAACAATTTGAATGTAGGCCCCTCTTGATCTTGAGGCCCTAGGCTGAAGCCTAGCTAGCCTATAGGAAAATCCGGCCCTGCACAAATCATTTCATTTTGATTACTTTATAAAAGTTATAATATAAGTAACTCATACAAAAAACATCTCAAAGCACCAGGTCAAGTCAAAACAAAAAATAATCAGATATTTTCATGCAACGTCGAATTCAGAAACGCAATAGAGAGTTTTTGCATAACGGAAACCACATGCTTTCACTTTTCCGCTATCAAGCGCATAATGTCACTGCGCATGCGCTCATCGGAACTCGGCGATTTATCGGGAAGCTTAAAAATAGTTTTTGCATAACGTCCACTTTCACTTCCGATAATACAAAGTTTTTGCATACCGTATTTTGGACGTCCGTTAGCTTTTTCTCCCTAGCGCGCATGCTCATAGGAAATTGCGCATGCGTATCTGTAATAATGTTTCCTGTGAGCATGCGCGCTAGGGAGAAAAATAACGGACGTCCAAAATACGGTATGCAAAAACTCTGTAATTTCGAAATCGCTGCAGTACTAGATCTCAAATGCGAGGAGGTGTGTGATGATATAGAATTGCAAATAGCCAATTCTCGATAGGAAAGATTTAGATCTAGTAAATATAGATTTTAATCATTTTTCTCAGAGGAAATTTAACTTCTTTTACTATATGCTTGTAATAAAAAAAATGCAAAATATGTCTCGTATACATAAAATTGTACTCCATTTGCTAATTGCAGTTCAATAGCACAACCAGACAGCTCCATATTTTTCAATAAATCTTCTTCAAATATTCATAGAATATTAAGAATTGTATACTTTTTTAAATCTTTCTACTTATACAATTGTAGTAAATGTTTAATTCAATTTGTTTCACAATTCAGTTCTTAAAATTACTTATTATTTTTTCATAAGAATTTTAAGTATTATTCATTTAAGAACAAATATATTATTTATTCTTTTAAGAATAAAAATGAAATGTTAAAAGAAATAAAGTATAAAAAAAAAACAATTTTCAAAAATGCAAAGAATAAAAAAAGAAAAGAACATTTCTATTTGCAGCTGCTTTGTTATGACTAGCACTAATGTTGTTTTTATCTCAATTTAAACATCTAATTTTCTCTCCATCTAAAACATCTATACATTTCCAATCCACATATCGTGGAAATAAAAGCTTGATTAAAGTTAATTCCATCTAAGTTATTCCCTGAAAATACTGAAAGCTTTGCCTTTAGATGTATGTAATGATTTAAATAATGTTAATATATATACATAATATTTACTTTCATTATTAAAATTCTAACAATTACTTATTTCTGCAAACTTTATGCAAATGAAAAGTACTATACAGATATTTTCAATTTAACAATTTGTTTTTGTTGATATTTCAATTTTTTTTTTTTTATTCCTATTTCTGTAATTCAAAAGGCTATTTAAAATTAATAACCTGTACCTTTAATTTGAACATGATTTTAGCTTTAGATGTATGTAGGATTTGTTTCTATGCTAAGCACCAGATGGAAATACTGCACGGACTATGTGTCTTTCACACCAACCTTTTGCCATGTCGTGGTGGTATTGGACCTTGAGCTCTGGCCCTGGAAGAAGGGAAAAACCCCGTTAGTTGGGCGCGAGAGAGGAACGCGGGGAGATGGCGAAAACTGCAACGCGCTGCATCAAGCAGCGGTAGAAAATGGCTGTTATATAATAAATATTAATGTAAATATTATTGTAAATTATAGAACCAATTAAATGGTTTTCTTTAAAGAAACGCAGGACTTTTATTGTGTCTGTCAAATCCCCTAGACACCCACTGCAAAAGTACAACCACTGTTAGACTGGTAGAGAAATCGGTACTTACGTATTAACGGTACCTTGGCGACAGACTTGGCGGTTTTTAAGTGTCGCCAATCTAACAGCTACTAAGGTTACCAAACCAATAGAATAGATTGGTGCCACTTTAAAACCGCCAAATCTGTAGCTGCGGTTGGGGCGTGTGCTCTTTATTGGCGCAACTGTCGCCAAGGTACCGTTAATACGTAAGTACCGAGAAATCTAACAAAACTGTAGGTTCGGCAAGGATGCATCAGTTGAAACCGGTGTAAGTCTACATAAATTGGGGTTTCAGCGGGATTCGTCTTCTTTCAAGCGGCTAAATCTACATGTATATAATACATATTTAGAATGTCATATGTTTGTTTTAATTATTAAAAGCATTGTAACTAGTTCCATTTTTACATTTTCATCTCAAAATTTATTTTAATATAATTTTTTAATATAATTTAATTAATATAATTTTTACATTAAATATATAATTGCAAATTTAATAAAATTAAATTATTTATCTAGTTAAAATTTATAAATCCAGTAATTAATTTAAAATGCAATTTTTTTAATTAAAATACGGTATTAAATAAAATTGCTTTTCTGTTTTTGTGATTTTTATGAAACGAAACAGATGTTTAATGTAAAGAAAGTAAGTGAGCTTTTATAGTAAGCATTTACATGATAACTGTACAAAATCTAAAGAACCTTAAAATACATCATTAAAAAAAATTCATTCTTTCTTTCTAAATTTCTTTTAAAATGTTTCCATTGAAGATTATACATGTAACAATTAATAAATTAATAGTTTAAAAAAACTAAAAAATACGCTTTTAGAGTTAATCAAACTAAAAAGTAAAAAATAATTGTTAACATAAGAATAAAATGACTGACGAGAAAATGAATGTCACTGTTCTAAAAGCGTAGGGTGCTCGATATCAATCGTTATAATTTCTCACTCGTTTCATTCCGAAATGCAGAGTTAGTTTAAAAATGTCGTACAAAGCACCCCACGCTTTTAGAACAGTGACATTCATTTTCTCGTCAGTCATTTTATTCTTACGTTAACAATTATTTTTTACTTTTTAGTTTGATTAACTCTAAAAGCGTATTTTTTAATTTTTTTAAACTATTAATTTATTTTTTACTTTTTAGTCTGATTAACTCTAAAAGCATATTTTTTTTTAGTTTTTTTAAAGTATAATTGTTTTTACTTTGTTTTCCACTTGGCCGGTTATCCGCTAAGTTTACATACTTTTTACCCACCGAAATTTTCGGCCAATAGGAAGAGCGCAATTCGACATGATCGCACTCCTATGCCTTTGAGATCCACCTCTTTTTACCCACCGAAATTTTCGGCCAATAGGAAGAGCGCAATTCGACATGATCGCACTCCTATGCCTTTGAGATCCGCCTCTTTTTAGCCAGCGAAATTTTCGGCCAATAGGAAGAGAGCAATTCGATCGCGGATCAGTTGACTGACTCGCCAGTAGATGGCGCCATCAGTCCCAAAATCGAGCCCAAAAAGTGAGTTACATACAAACATACAGGTGAAGCTAATAAAAGCGTATTAAAAAAATAAATGTAAATTTCGGTTTTACTTAAAAATTGAACATAATTTGTTTTGATGATTAAAAATAAATGCGCCAGGAATGAACACGACTGATTTTAAACATTTTAATAATTTATTTTTCACATATCTAATTTTAAAAATAATGCTAGTGTGCCCTACACACGTTGCCCTGCCCTGAAAACAAAAAAATTAAAAAATCATGGAATCTGATTGCAGCACCACCTACCTGGTCCAACTGCAAGTCCAAACTGTCCAGGGACCCACTCAAACACAAACAAAAAAAATTTAATCAAAATCGTCCCAGCCCGTTTAGGAGTTCAGTGACAAAAACACGTTCAGAAGAATTATATGTATATAAAGATAAATCTATACTTTTTTAAATAATTTTTTTTTCAATAAAATACAATTAAATTGAAAAAAAAAATACCATATATTTAAATATATAGTAAATAATTGAAGAATTTGACTATAAATAAATTTACTTTATCATATTTTCTTTATCTTAGTGTGCTTTTATTTGCTTAATTATCATTCTTATTATTTTAATTATTTTTCCAATTCTTTCTAAAATCTTTTTTGAATTCTTCTTAAAATTCTTTTTTATTTCGTAATGAGTTTCTCTGTATCGAGATTTCTAGAAACATGGCATACTACTGTGCCCATAAGGTAAGACCAATTATTATTTATTTTTTTTTTTCAAAAACACTTTATTTATTCTTCCAAATTTATTTCATCCAGATTTCACGCATTTGAGGCCCAAAATGGAATTGACTATTCCTTGTGAGTTTCGTCGGTTGAGGTCGATGGTCGACCAGAGGGCTCTTCGTCTCCAACGCGTTCTCTGCCTTCTTTGAACTGTTTATATTACTCCTAAACATTTCTTTCCGATATAGGAAGAAATGTTTAGAAGTAGTATAAATATAGACCGAATGCCTCCTGCAACATTCTATACGTTTCCGCAAACAAAATTGAATGCAAGTTCTTTGCTCAATTAATTCAGACATTTCAAAAATCGCCAAAATTACTTTTAGCGTCTCACAAAGCCAAGAGTAACTCAAACACTAATGAATATTTTGACGTCGAATTTCACACAGATGTCAAGGACAGTGCCAGCAAATCCCATATATCCCCGGGAATGTTAAATTGAAAATTGGTCTTACTTTTTGGACACAGTAGTACACTACATTCCCCACTCAAGATTAAAGCATTATGCAAACACTCA